ATTACGATGGCAATCAGCCAAGCTAAGGCAAACCAAGACCATATTTTCCTAGTTCGCCATAGTTTATACAAATCGCTGCCTTTTCACTTTAATCTTTGGATCGTCGAAACTTAACCGAATTGCCACGACTTCTTTAGACACCTTGATTCGTTATTATAATTTGAGTAGTCCTGAGCATAAGGACATTTTGCGATATTCTATGCTGCTTTTTGTAGGCGTTTAGTTAAAGAAAAGAACAAATTACTGGTTTTCGGAAGAAATAAGCCTTAATATAATTATTTCAACCTTGACAGCCATTCACTTAACATTTTTATCCCGGCTCCGACTGAGCAAATACTTATTTATATGTAAGAAGATGAAATCACGAAAGTCAGTCACGAAACTTGTGAAACCTACTGGATGTACAGCAAAACCAACAGGAATGAGAATTCACCATAATGTAGGGATAACACCCTTGGTTGTCAAGTTAAATACCATCAGTTACCCAGAAAGCAGGGGATAGTTCCTGTTTCTTATAAATTATAACAGAAAATGGAGATGAAGAATTTTCCACATGTCTATCTGCAGAGAACGATAGTTGCACCTACTCAAATTCGTAACCGAAATGGCCACCCATTTTATAGCAAACTAAACAACTAACTAATCTCGTTTCATTGAGTACATGCGAAATACTCAGATGGTTCACAGCTTTTTGGATTCCGATAAAATCATGCCCTTCATGGAGGACACGCTAAATGTTAAATAATGAAAGAGAAAGTTGAATAAATACATTTTTTTGGTTCATGTATGTTAGTTTATGCTGTGGAAAGGGCAGTGGGAGAGAAAATTAATTTCGGAACACCATCAGTATTTTATTTTTGCTGCATTACTGAGTTTTTAAACTTCTAGACTATGTCTTTGAAAATACATTCACAGACATTGATCGATTTATAATACTTGTTCGAATGTAATTTGAAAATACATCGATTAAATGTTTATTATGCAGTATATCTGTCATTGTCGTGATGATATTATTTTATAAATACCTTGTCAAGAGATAGAGCAAGATGAGGTTTGTAGGTCTAATGTTAAGTAAGTACCTATTTTATTTTCCTACTTCTCATTACTTTTAGCCGATTTGACTTCATATTTTCATTTTCCAAATTAACTCCTGTAAATGTACACTTGGCATTAGTGGTAATTCTTCTTAGTATGAAGAATTCAACTAAAATTGTGTTCAACGGGACTAGTTTAAACTATTTAGTCCTACCCAAATTCGGGTTGACTAAATAATTACATAGAAGCAAAAACTTTTAGTAATTTTTACAAATTTGTCCTCTGATATATTTGTTCGGTACTTTCAGTTCTTATTGAACAAGGTGCTGCACTGGTTCCACCAAAGTATCTGTACCCACTAGGTGGAAAAAGTTTTACTTACGATGTCATCAATAACCAGGACGGAATAAAACCCAAATCAACACATTGCTTCACTGTTGGACCAAATCATCCTCAGCTTAGTTTTTCAGCCATGTATTTCGATAGGAATGTTAATAAATATGCAGATGTCAGGATTCCGTCAGATAACTCGATTTCCAGTATTGGTTTCACTGTTTTTTTCAATGCCTTAGATCCATCGGGTTATCTTTTTCATTACCGTTCGGACAATCAAGGAAATATCGACTTTATAACAGAAATGTATGTTAAAATAGATAATGGTCAAGTCATTTCCAAAATTGACACCAGTGGTGATAAAGCCGGTCCACTTCAGTTTCCTGTTGGAGCTAATGGGCCTCATACCATCTCACTGAATACATGGATTATGATATCCTTTACGAATTTCGCTGTTAATGGTACAACTTATTTATTTATAGACACGCTTGTGGAACAAGTTACTCATACGTTTAAATTTTCGTTGAAAACACCCGGGACATTACGATTCGGTGCATCTCTGCCTTCACCGTTTAATACATTTCATGGATTTATGACATGCGGTGCTATTTATAATGTTGCAAGTGGTTTTGACAATGTTACCGAAATTTTACAATACTGCTCGGAAAAAAATTGGCCTAATTCACCCCCAAGTAAGTACTATATGTATAGATAATTGTTAATATCGTTAAATGCGAAATTATTTTACAACCTTACACGAGGTCCTTGAGTGCATGCATAGTTCCAACTGTCAGGACTCCATGCTTTATTCCTACTATTCCTCAGTAATGTTTTATTGTCATCAGAAAGGCCTGATTTTGTCTCACAATTACGTATCACACGAAAGGCCATTTTGGCTAGGTCAAAGAATTCTTTGCACATATTACACACCCTTCTAAGATCTCTCTAACTTATTAAATGTTAACTTGTTACTTTTCAACCACACTAACCTTTAAATAGATACGATACCCATACCAAGTTTTTGTGAAAAGAATCGGATAAATTCTGTTTCTTCTGCTGTGATCACAGTAATAAATAAATCTACGAAAAATCAAAGATTTTACTCAGCATGTTTTTTCACGTTTGGATCAAAACTGTAGACTCTATTGCTTTCACAAATCAAAATACAATGTAAAACATATGAGGACAATTTGTTATATTGTGTTTCATAGAGAGAGGTGGTGGCAAACTTGCTTGATAGTGTTATTCAAAAAGAGACGAAGATATGGTTTTTTTATATTATAATTTCAGAGCCTACATGTCAGAACTGGTATGTTACAGTATCAGTTCATCACCTCTTTCCGTTGGATGACGTGGCATGGACATCTGATGTTCATTTGATGCTCCACAACAATAACAACAAATGTTTGAGACCAGGAAAAACTCATCCAAGTTTTGATCACCGTGGTCTACGTTTTGATGGCTCGTCATATTCCAGTTTTAAGCTGACAATAAACAGTAGTGATTTAACAGGAGACTTTTCCCTTATGACTTATATTTATTTTCAGAACTACTCGTCTGGAAAAATAATTCAAATTTTATCCTCATCGGGAAACACTGTTCTAGAATTAATACACACAGGCACGGGTGTTTATTTCGAAGCATTTACAACAAGTTCTTCATGTGCTCTTTCAAATATCACTACAAATATCAATTTCAATTCGTGGATTCTGTTGGGAATACTGAGGGAAACAAACCAATTACTGGTGTCGATTGATGACAATATTTTTCATATTCCTGATACTTGCGGTTCATTTGGATTATCTGACAATGCCTACATTGAAATAGGTAATTCTGAGAGAGGGAGTATTGGATTTCGTGGTAGCATGAGATGTCTTGTTCTTTTCAACGAATTACTCGATACTAATGTTGGAAGTACTATGAATCATTTTTGTACAGCAGCACAATCGGATGCTGTTACAAGTAAGTATAGATTAACAGTTTTATCTTACCTGCGTTTACTTGAAATTTGAATTGTCAATGTATTCACGTTGACTTTTCCAATATATTGGACCCTTTTCATTTACCAATATTTTTTTTAAATCCTCAGAGGAATTTTGGTAAACCCGTATAAAATATTTATGATTTACAAAAATTGACCGTCCATTTAGTTGTAAATTTGGAAATATAAAAACAGAGGATGAAACACATTCTGTTCTGTTTCAATATTTCTTCATCGCTGTACAATTGATGTATTGAGAACTATTTTAACAGTGAAAATATTTTAATATTGTAGTTCTAAATTTATATTGTTACTATATAAGACAAAGTTTAAAGACAATGAATTTCCTAATGTCGCTCTCCTGGACAAATAAACTAATACATGCGTTTATTATTTATTTCAGATGTTATCAACAACTGTGATGTACAGCCTTTAAGTGAGAGAAAATACCTTCTCTTAAGACATAACGTGAAGCCGGTAAACACATTTCAACAATTATCATCTGGCAATTTTCGTTCACTACCGGCTTGTGCAGCACATTGTTTTACGCTTGCGTTCTGTAGATCATTCACGTATACGGATGGTTATTGTGTATATTATGATGAAATTACCGATGCCGGATTGATTCCGTCTCCCGGGTCAAGATTTTACATCCGGGCTTAAATATGCCCATTAAAACCAGTGTCATAAACTCAATACGTTGCATGAATGAAACTCATAAATAAAATGTTACGAAGTAAATATGATTTCTTGTTTCCGGTAGTGACATAATAATATAGTAATAAACACCTTACAATACAAATTCCCACACAAGAATGTTATCACATAAATCGAACAGTATTTTCATTGCATTGGTACAAAATTGCAGAACAATACTAACATATTAGAACCTAACAATTTAAGCAAAAATTCAGATTACCAATTTCAAACAGAAATGCTTACTTACAGTTGAGTATGAGATAAAATTTATTGGGAAATCACACTAAATCCAACACCTTAAATCATGAATACTGTTCGAT